TGAGTATTCTTTAAAACTGTTTCTTTCCATTTTCAATCTTTTAAATGTACATTAACACTTCAATGATGCAAAACTTTGGCTTTGAAGATGTACATCTAGCACACTGGCTGACTTGACGGCCATCTTTTAAAATATTCTTGTTCAAGTGGAAAAGGATTCTGATTAGTTTACGAGGATTTGTCGATCACTTTTGGCAGAACAAATTTGCTCCAAAATCAAGTTATGCCGTGCAAAATAGGTTTCGGTCTCTTCTTGACCCCGCAATTAGGATATGATGACAAGATTTGGCCCATCACACCGCTGTATTCAGTAACATTTGAAATTCATCGGCAATCTTTGGCAGTGTTCAGAAGTCATTGGAACGTCTTCGTTAATGTCCTGAAGTCGTTGGATTCTTGTCTGAAATTTGGGTGATGAGAATACAAAAATCACAGACATTTTACATGGGAAAAGTTGACAGGTATACATATAATTATATGTCTTATTAGATGTTTTGGTGTGTAGGTATCGCCAACCTTGTTCCCAGGGTCCTCTCAGGAGCTGAGTAGGAGAGGACCCTGGGAACAAGGTTGTAGTATTGCTGTGTATTTTTGTAAATGAGTTGTGCCATATTTTGACGAGAACATAGGGCGAGTCAAAATACAAACAACGAGCAAAAATATAAAGCAATACTACACACCAAAACATCTAATGAGAGATTTATTATCCAACTGCTGTAGTCAATAAATTTATCAACGAAAAGAGGGAGAGTGTGACAGTTTTGCGTGCATGTGCCGACCTGTATGCCAAACAGGTTTTCTACTGTACAAATAACTGTACAATATCACTGTATATTTGTACTGTTATTTGGACGGTATTCGCTGTAGTTGGATAATAAATATACATATACAATGTACAAAAGGTCCCTCAGTCTGCATTTCCACCCAGTCTGCGATGGCGGCAAAACCTGAAAGCTAATATTCAGGGAGGCTTTCCTTCCGCTTGTTTACAGACCGTAACAAATGGATTGTATCAAACGTACCAATACTGAAGATACTTCATGAACTAATTATATNTTTCCACCCACTCTGCGATGGCGGCAAAACCTGAAAGCTAATATTCAGGGAGGCTTTCCTTCCGCTTGTTACAGACTGTAACAAACGGATTGTATCAAACGTAACAATACTGAAGATACTTTATGAACTTATTATATAAGCTTACATGTCATTTACAGGCCTGAATTTAATAGTAATACGTCTACATGCAGTGGCAGATCCAGACTTTCAGCTAAGGGGAGGGCCCCGTTTAGTTTTACTTGCCCTGCCGGCTTTTCATCCTTCAGTCATTTCTTCTTTTTTCACCCAAAATAAGGGGGGAGCCCAGGCCCCCCAGGCCCCTCCCCTAGACCCGCCACCGACATGTAACATGCATGCATATGTAAGCTTACATGTAGTAGGCATGAACTTTCTAAACGGCAAACTGTTTGATAAGGCTGGATAAGGATAAACTTACAAATTATTTTGTGCTCACCTTGCTTCTAACTTCTCATTTAGCGACAGCACCTCTTATGGCGGCACTAGTTAGTTGTTCCAGTAGATAACAAAAGTATCTGTTCTCAAACGGGGCAAGCGCCTTGGTCGCCATCTTGAAGAGGAGTGTTCATTGAGGTCTGGGAACTACAAAGTCAAGTAGCTAGTCCCAGGTTATGAGAGTAGATGGGCAACACGTACCACCTTGTAAGCAGAGCCTTTTCTTACGGCACATATAGACCACATATGCTTTTTTCCGTGTAAAAAAGAGACAACAGAGGCTCTGCTCGCAGGGTGAGAT